CATTCTGTCGGTTGTCTTTTGGTTTTGTGGACTGTTTCTTTTGCTGTGCAAAAGCTTTTTATCTTGATGAAATCCCAATAGTTCATTTTTGCCCCAAGGGCCACTTTCTTTGCATGCTAGTGCTCTGCCTCCGTGGGCTCCCAAGGAGGGGAAACCAGGTGCATTGGTCAGAGTTCTCCAGAGAAATATATATATATGTGTATATACATACATATACACTATCATATTAATATATTAATCAATATAGCTAGTATATAATATTAATATATTTATAGATAGATCTTAGATTTATTTCAAGGAATTGGCTTTTGCAATTGTGAGGATTGGCAAACCCAAAATCCACAGGGCAGGCCATCAGACTGGGAACTTTTGGGAAACTAAAGCTGCAGTCCTGAGGCAGAATTCCTTCTTCCTCGGGGAAGCCTCAGTTTTGTTCTTAAGGACTTCCAGATGATTAGGTTAGGCCCACTTAGATTATTGAAGATAATCTCCTTTGCTTATAGTGTACTGATTGTAGATGTTAATCACATCTACAAAATACCTTCCCAGCAACTCCTAGATCAGTACTGATTGAATAACTGGGGATTGGGGCACCTGGGTGGCTTAGTCAGTTAAGCCTCTGCCTTCAGATCAGGTCATGATCCCCCTGCTGAGCGGGGAGCCTGCTTCTCTCTCTTTCTGCCCCTCTCCCTGCTCGTGTGGTCTCTCTCTCTCTCATTCTGTGCTTTCTCAAATAAATAAATAAAATCTTTTTAAAAAATGAATAACTGGGGATTATCACCTAGTCAAGTTGACCCATAAAACTCAGCATCTCACAAGGAATACTTGTTTACTGCTAGGCCCATTCTGCTGAAAATGAAGACAGGTTGCCATGTGTGGGTAGAGCTACTTGGTAGTAGACGGACTTCTGCAAGTGGGTCCTGCTCACCCCTGTGGGCAATTCAAGCTGGTCAGGAGCTGGGAGAAAACATGTGCTTTGTAAACTTTGTAAACTTTTAGCCAAAATGTAGTATATGTTTCCTCACTGGGAAGATGATAGGAGAACTCGAGGAGCTTGATCATTGCAGAAGATAGGGAAATGGTTTGTCACAATGCTGATAGAAAGGTTTGTAGCTTCTATGTGATGATTAAACACAAAATGCCACTTGGCCCGGGTTTGCTTCGCAGCTGCTTTCTTTCCTTGATCCTGATATCTTGGCCATTGGAGTAGAATCCCAGGACCCCCAGTCTGCAGGGGCATCCCCCGCAACACACACACCCACCCACCATAGAGTCTTCCGCCGCTTTCTCGGAGACCAGCCCATGAATAGCTCTACTTCATTGCTCTCTCTCATGGTCAGTCATCCCCGGCTCAGTGATGAGGCTGGAGGCAAAGGTCACTGGCACAGAAGGAAGAAAGGTATCTCATCTCTCTCTTGCAAAACCCAAAACAGCGACAGGACTGTCCTCTTTGCAGAAGCTTCTGGTAAAGGCATTAGAATTTTTTTTTTCCTTCTGGTTGTGCCCATCCTTGAGACCAGGCACAGGGTGAATTCCTCCATTGCTGAGGTCAGTGTGTGCCCTTGGAGACTCTTAAGACTGCTCTTTCAGACTGTGTTTGGGGTCAAGGGGATGTTTAAATGGAGAGGAGCTCCTATTAGTTACACAATGGAGCCCGTTATAACATATCCATTCACCTCTCTGGGAGGCCACTAGTCTAAAGAGGCTCATGGAGATGGAGGGGAGAGGACTGTGCCCATACCGTGTGCATCATGTCTCCCCTCTTGACCCCTCCTAGCTTCACCGGGCAAAAGTGGACTCATTGCTTTGACAACAGTAGAGGGACTCTAGATATTTCCAGAAGTAACTCTGGCTCCAGGCACACAGAAAGGAAAAGTCTCCCTGAGCTGGTTTCCTGGAAGCATGGGGGGCAACTCATCGATGTGCTCTTCAGGATTCCAGCCACCTTCTTCCAAACAAAGTGACACAGGTTCCAGGTGCTGTAAGGCTCATCTCCTGCCCTGGAGGGCAGGAAACCGAAGTTTGGGAGCAGATTCTGTCTCCCATCCATCTCCGGTTTCCCATGCTTACTCCAGCTTTTTCCTTCTTGGATGGTGGAAACTCCTCCAGATGTCAAAGCTTGTTGTGAATAAAGCTGTAAAAGGGAGGTCATGTATCCAAATCAAAGTATGTGTATTTCTTCCTGGATTGAAAGTGACTACAGTCACTGGGATGGGAAATCATCATGAAACCTTAATACCCAACTGAGAAAAAAAGGGCCAGATTGAGTTTGGGGGATCGAATGTGTAAGTGGGGGAAGTCAGGTCATAGAAGCAAAAATCACCTTCCAGCGACTGCAGACAAGTCAGGGCAGCTGTGACTGATGTTAATGACCTTGTTTTGAACTAAAGTCACATGCAATGTTTTCACCATATATTTTTCTTTTATTTTTTAACTCACTGCTCCAAGTTTTGCCATTAAGTAAATAAGTATTGCTCCAAAACCCTCCCTCATCTGCTAATGCGTAATGCTTCTTTCACGTGATCTCATACTCCACATCTCCAAGAACATGCGGGAAGGATTGAAGAGGATGGCGGGGACTCTGGGTTCCAGGGCTGGGAGTGTAGCAGGAACAGATATAGTGGAGGAAAACTTGGCAGGCACCTACCACCCTTGGAAGCCAGCCCATTTCTTCTGAGCCCACAACCAAGCCAATGTACCTGCTGGTGGTGGGGCAGCCAGCAGGCAGCAGGCTTTCATTGTGGGTTTCACCTCTGCCCCAACCCCAGAGTGGCTAAGAGCAGCCTCTGAAATTCACCAATCCACTGTTTCTTAAAAGTAGAAATCCTTGACCTCTGGGGGAAAACATAGCTGTTCCTCAAAAAAAGAAGTTTTAGCTTAGTCATCCACACTGCACAAAGAAAATGAAACTCACACTTAGAACAAGGGGTAACAAAGTATTCAACAATCACCAGACAGATTTGTTTATGTATTTCTTACTGTTTATGCTTTGCTTAATCCCTTCTGAGGCCAAAGAGCCACTTTCTTTTCTTTTCTTTTTTTTTAAATTTATTTATTTGACAGAGAGAGACACAGTGAGAGAGGGAACACAGGCAGGGGGAGCAGGAGAGGGAGAAGCAAGCCTCCTGCTGAGCAGGGAGCCCAATGTGGGGCTCGATCCCAGGACCCTGGGATCATGAGCTGAGCCAAAGGCAGACGCTTAATGACTGAGCCACCCAGGCGTCCCCAAAGAGCCACTTTCTTGCTGTTCCTTGTGCCTCAGTGGCACAGGAAAGAAATCTTAAAAAACAGCATCTTACTCCCTGAATTAGCAGTTTCTTCCCTGACCTAGATTTCCCAGGTGGAGACTGGATACTGGAAAGTAGTGAAGCCTGTCACCATGGCAAGTTTGCACTTTATTCTGCAGGTAATCAGGGATGTTGGTGTGTGCCTGCCTTTTTCAACAGGCATGTCAGGATCCCTGCAGCAATACCTTTCAAATGCTCCGCCAGACAGGAATAATGGGAAGCTAGGAGACCATAAATGTTATTCCCAGAGTGCAGATGAGAGATACACCATAATCTTAAACATCTAGACCAGTGTGGTCTAATAGATATGTAGTGTGAGCCACATGTGTAATTTTTAATATCCCAGTAGCCGTATTGAAAAAAAAGGAAAAAGAGTAGCACCTGGGTGGCTCAGTGGGTTAAGGGTCTGCCTTCCACTCTCATGATCTCAGGGTCCTGGGATCCAGTCCCACGTTGGGCTCTCTGTTCAGCGGGGGCTGCTTCTCCCTCTTACTCTCCCTCTGTTCTCTCTCTCTCTCAAATAAATAAATAAAATCTTAAAAAAAAGGAAAAGGAAGTATGTAAAATTAATTTTAATAATATATTTCACCAAATATATCCAAAACATCATTTCAACATGTAATAACAATTATTAATAAGTTATTTTACCATATTGCTGTAAATCTTAGAAATGGGGGTGCCTGGCTGGCTCAGTTGGTTAAGCCTGGGACTCTTGATTTCCACGGAGGTCATGATCTCCGGTGGTGAGATAGAGCCCTGAGCCCCTGCGGAAGATTCTCTCCCTCTCCCTCTGCACCGTTGCTGGCCTTCTTCCCCGCACTTGTCCCCGCACTCTCTCGCTCTTAAAAAAAAAAAAAAGAGAGAGAGAGAGAGAGAAAGAAAAAAGAAATGCGGTGTATGGATAACAAAAGCACATGTCAATTCCTTCACTAAATTTTAAGCGCTCAAAGGGAAATGTGGGTCTGCCAAAACAATAAAGTTGTTTAACAGAAAAATATTCCATAGTGCTTCAGTTTTTAATACAAATTAACTACAATTAATTACAATTTAAAATTCTGGTCGTCAGGCACACGAGCCACATTTGAAGTTTAACAGGCACAGATGGCTACGGCAGAGCAAGTCTGGACTGCAAACACGTTCACAGCTTGCACCAGACCTTGGAAACCGCGGGTCCTGCAGTTCTGGACATGTTCACCAGGTGGCACTAAAGCTAACACCCTCACCAGCTCGAGACAGGCGCCCAACCCCGGAAGCGAAATCCCACGGTTGCACGCCGTTTCCTCCGGCTTTCTCCACCTCCGGATACACCCTACCTGATCTGGGGTCGAAAAGCGTGCAGCCGGGCAGGATGGGCAGGAGAGCAGAGCCGCGGGGTCTGCAGAGCGAGTGAAGAGCTGTGAGCAGGTCCCGGTGTGCCACGCGGAGCCACGCAGGGGCGGTGGGCGCGCAGACCCGGCGTCAGACCGCGCGGACGGCAGAGCCCCCGCCTGAGAGCGCGTCGCCTGGCCACCGCTGCTGCGTCGCCTTCTCCCGCGAGGTCGCCAGCGCTGGGCCCGAGCTTCCGCCAACGGCACCCAGAGCCCGGCGTCCTCTCCAATGTTTCAGAAGTCACGCCCGGCGCTCCTGCAGCCTCAAGATGTCGGAGACAGGGTGGAGACGCTTATGGTAAACTGCGGGGAAGGGACACAGGGGTTCCGAAACCGCCGGCTCGTGGAGGGAAATTCTCCGGAGGTAGCCAAGGGTCAGCGGCTCCCTGGGTGTGCGCAGAACAGGTGGGGATGTGGCACGAGAGGGATGGATTGATCAAGGGGATTGAAAAGGGAAGGGCGAGGGAGGAGGAGTTGCAGCCCCCTTGGGACAGACAAGCGACGGTCTCGCTGCTGCTTTGGCGTCCGGGTAGAGTGGGCGGAATTGCCGGGGCCTTGGGAGTGCGAGGGAGTGTGCCGGTGCGACCCTGAACAACGTGCGAGCGCTACCGGACGATGCTTTGAGTTGGATGCCTAGGGCGACAGAGGTGGAAGGACGCTCGGGCAGGTATTTGGACCATCGCAAGGCTCGGTAGTCGCGCCAAACCTGAGAAGCGGTGGGTGCCCGAGGGAGGTGAGTTAGGACCGCACTGGGTCCCCGGGCGGGGAGGGAGGACACCCTCTGGGTCTCCACCTCCTAGCTGGCGAGGAACCGGTGGGGCCCGTGATGCCGCGAGGCCACACCCCTGAGTCTGGATTGGCTGCCGCGGTCGTGCCGCCGGGCCTCCATTGGTGGAGACGGAGGCGGGGCTGGGCAGGCGGGTCCCGGAGGAAGGTCTGGCTGAGTAGCCGCTGGCGGTGGGTGGAGGCGGGAAACGCAGGACTGAGCCGCGAGCGCCGAGTCGCCGCCAAGTTCGCTCCGAGGTCCCGTCTGCCGGCGCCGGCGGGCGGGGTATGGGTTGTTTTTTTAATCGTTAAAAAAGGTAGCGGCTGCGGCTCCACTTTACATCTTTGAAAACGTGCTTAACCTGTTTCTCTTTCTGGGTCCTCCCGCTCTGGCCTGGAGACTTGTTTGGATTAAGAATTGCTTGTGGAATCTGTTTGCTAACTACTTAAGTACTATTTACTGCCTTTGTATACTGTATATTATTTGGTTGTTTTTGCTCTCCTCCCTCAAAAAACCAAATTGTTAGTCATCGTTTTTACCTTGAATAACTTTAGGCTGTTTTCATCCCTGGGGGCCTCTGCTTAGATCTCTGCTGCGGTGGCAAAGCCCCTAATCCCCCCATTGGCATTCAGTGCTCCTCCTCAGTACTTAGAAAAAAAATCAAACAGGCCTTCAAAGGATGCTCCATGTGACAACATCTTAAAACTATTCAAAATGAAAAGTGTAAATTCTGGTTTTTGTTTTTTTTTTAACAATGTATGTGGGGCTTTTTTGTTGTTGTTTTTTGACTAGTAGAGGTTAGTCTCTCTAGCTGGTGTATATTTAGCATCTACTGTGCTAACTGACCATGAAAATTACAAAATTAAAAAAGTTATGGGTCGTAGGCATTTATTCAACAAATATTTATTAAACGAATAATATGTCCAGGCATTGCACTGTGAAAATAAAGACATAAAATAGTTCCTGCAGGGGCGCCTGGGTGGCTCATTCGTTAAGCGTCTGCCTTCGGCTCAGGTCATGATCTCAGGGTCCTGGGATCGAGCCCTGCATCGGGCTCCCTGCTCCGGGGGAAGCCTGCTTCTCCCTCTCCCACTCCCCCTGCTTGTGTTCCCTCTCTCACTGTGCCTCTCTCTGCAAATAAATAAAATCTTTAAAAAAAAAAAAAGTTCCTGCAATGAGGGAGGGTGGGTGTGTTGGAGCATGTGTGTGAAGGACCTCAGCCTTAAAACAAATTCCTTACAATACCTGTGGGAGTGTTGGGGAAGCAGCACAGAGAACTGCACAGAAGCTGTAACTACTTGTCATGCACACAGCCTTACCAGAGCAAAGGGCTGAGGGGAGCCTGGGGAGATTACTCTTTTCTGGGATGGGCCATGCAGGGCTCACTAAACTTCAGCCTATGGAATTGTGCTCAAGGGAAAGCCATATGCAGATTCCCTGCAGATGACATGATTCATTCATTTTTGACTCTTGGGCACCTACTGTGCACCAGGCTCCGTGGTCAGTGCTGGAGGTACAGGTAGTGGCCTCTTCTGTACTGGATCCTAAGGGAGATGGGCTCAGATGCAGTGGAAGTACTGAGGAGGAGTACTGAATGCCAATGGGGGGATTAGGGGCTTTGCTGCAGCAGAGGAGATCTAAGCAGAGGCCCCCAGGGATGAATCAGACATGGGAGGAGCCAGGATGGGAAGGCAGAGAATTCCTGATGGTTGCACTGTGAGTTAGAGGTAGGAGGCTGAGAACACAGGCTGAAAAAGTAACAAGGGGCCACATGATTCAGGAAGGACCTCGTAAGCCTAGCCAGTGGCCTCAAACCCTGTGACGTAGGACACATTCGTGACCTCTGTGAGCTCCAATTTCTTTCTTTTTTTAAAGATTTTACCCATTTATTTGACAGAGAGAGACACAGCGAGAGAGGGAACACAAGCAGGGGGAGTGGGAGAGGGAGAAGCAGGCTTCCCGCCCGAGCAGGGAGCCTGTTGCGGGGCTCCATTCCAGGACCCCCGGATCACAACCCCAGCCGAAGGCAGACGTTTAAAGACTGAGCCACCCAGGCGCCCCTGTGAGCTCCAATATCACCTGTAAAATGGGTTTAAATACCTAGCTTTTAAGATGTTGTGAGATCTCGAGGAGGTGTACATAGATGCCTTACCCAGTGCTGCTCTGGGACCTCGGGAGGGTGGGTTAGTAGGGTTGAGGCTGGAGACTGCCAAGGAGGTCACTGGAATAGATCGGTGTGGGCTGGCTCTGGCAACACTGAGGGGTCATCAGCAGGTCTGGGTCATGAAGCCGCAGGTACAGTGAGGATTTTTATGTGTCTCCCAAACTTGCCGCAGGAATATCTTGTGGATTGGAGTAGAGGCAGGAGTGTGGTGAAGTATTGACTGGGTTTCCATTTTGGAGTGAGTCGGAGCTGCCTGGGGGCCTCTCAGGGAGGGGGTTGCTGGGCGTTATGGGCACGGGCGCGGTGCCCTGTGGTGTGGGTGAGGTGGCCTGAGGGGCTGTGGCCGGGCGGAGATAAGAAGAGCAAGGTCTGAGGCTGAGGGAAAGGAGCAGCCTGAAAAGGAGCCCCAAACCAGCTGTTTGAAATGCGCCGGAGCAGCCAAGTAAGAGAAGGCCTAGGGCGGGAAAGGGCTCCTGGGATGGGCAGGTCTTTGGTGAGCAGGAGAGGCAGCTTTAGCTGGATGGCAAGTGGTGGGGGCCAAGGGGTGACTAGCCCAGAGGGAGTGGAGGTGATGTGGCTTGGGGCTGGAAAGACAGGGGCTTTGCCCAAGATACCAATGGAGGGATGAGACCTAGAAGCACAGACTCAGGGGAATAGGGCTTAACATTAGCCACTCCCCACCCCCTTGGGGGACAGGGAATGGTGTGCTGACAGACTGGCGAGGTAGACACATTTTGCTTGGTTGGATGTGTTGTGTTACCACTTTTGTCACCCCTGGATACTTTACGAGCCATTTGAACAGAGTTATAACCTCCGGTATTACGTGATTTTTTTTGTCTTTTAAGTGATTCCAGTTCTAATTTGAAACTTGCTCATTTGGTAGAAATGTGGAGTGATCCCTGTGAAACAAAAAACCCCACAGGTTACAAACATTTTAGTTCTGGGTTGGTGGCTATATGGGTATAACCAGCAACTTCATCTTCCGAGTGTCTTAGGACAACAGTTGTCCATGCATTCAAGAATAATAGTCCGAGTACCATTTAATGAGGAGAGATCTTTTTGGATGGAGTTTGCCAAGCCGTTTGTTTGGAGAAGAGCACTTTTCTTTCCTGGTTGGATTTTTAAACGTGCCTTTTCACAACCATTTGTGATCGAGTGGGTTCTGAAGCAAGCCGTGAGGCCTCTAGCGTGGTGGGCTCAAGGAAGTACATTTAGTCTCTGCCCTTCCAGGTGGTGCCTCCAGATTAGCCAGGGTGTGCAACTGGCCTGGTTTAAGGGAGAGCCAGCAGACCCAGGGTTAAGAGGTGACTGCTGGTCTACCACACCATCTGCGATCTGCTTAGGTCCCAGTGAGAGGCGTGGGTATAGGAGAAGGGAAAGCTTTTAAATTAAGGAAATTCAGGGGCGCCTGGGTGGCTCAGATGGTTAAGCGTCTGCCTTCGGCTCAGGTCATGATCCCAGGGTCCTGGGATCAAGCCCCATATCGGGCTCCTGGCTCAGCGGGGAGCCTGCTTCTCCCTCTGCCTCTCTCCCTGCTCATGCTCTCTCTCAATCTCTCTCTGTGTCTCAAGTGAATAAATAAAATCTTTAAAAAAAAAAGTGTTAAAAAAAATTAAGGAAATTCATAGGTTTCACAGGGAGTGGTCCATGTTTTACATTGAACCTGAGCTTATGGTTTCATTTCTTATGTCTCGCTCCTGTAAATATCTACAGGTCCCATAACCAAGAGAGCCTAACAACCAACAGTTCAGACACTAGGTTCAGTTGATTTTGCTTCTGTGAAGATAAGGAGATGGCCAATAACTTTTAGCGTCAGGACAGAGAGGGAGGTGTGGTTGGCAGCCTAATTCACAGGTGGACATAGACATGCTCCTCAGGAGGATCCTCATTGCCCATTCTCAATCCTAACGCCAGAGAGATTCCCCTCCAGCTGGGTATTATGTTCTCCACACGGCATTCCAGTGCTGTTAATTCCTGGGTTCACTTTTCCCTTCTCTGAAGTGGGAAGATAATACAGGGCACGAGCAGGTGGTTTTCTAAGCCACCCTTACAGAGGAAATGACTGGTCTCGGTGTGTAGAAAGCTGAGGCCCGCGGCCGCAGAGTTGCTGACTCAGTGTTGTCTTGTCCTGAAGTTGCATCCGGTGATCAAGGCTTTCCTGTGTGGCTCCATCAGTGGGACCTGCTCCACCCTCCTTTTCCAACCCCTGGATCTCCTCAAAACGCGTCTGCAGACTCTTCAGCCCTCAGCCCATGGGTAAGGCCCACTGCCCCCCGTTTGTTTGAGGAACCGGTTTCAACAACTTCTCTCAGACACAGGAGCATCTCAACTGTGTTAAGTCAACTGCTGTTCTGTTGGATGCTTCAAGAGAAACACGGGCCATGCCCAACTTCTTTGACATTTCCTGTTAATGATTCTCTGAGGGCACCTTCCTGGGATCTGCCCTGATGACATTTGCATTTTATTGCGCTAGCCTGTAATGTCATACTGTGCTGTCTGGTACGAGTAGCGTGGGTGATTTTCTGGAAATAACGTGTGTATTAAGTGTCTCTTTTATGCCCCACATTGGGCTCAGCACTGTGGGAAGTATACCAAATGCATATAACATGAGAGGTCATCCGATTGCTTGTGGTGTGAATCAACAGATAAAACACGTATGTACCAAATCATGAACATATGGGAACTCAGTTATTCCAAGATGTGTTGTAGAGATTCTTGAGTGCTCTTAGGGAAGAAGTCATACAAAGAAGTCTTTGGATGGGAAGTTCTTTTATGAGGATGGGGTCTGAGGGATTTTTTTTTTTTCTTCCCTGCCTCCATTTTGTCTGCTTTCAGATCCGGACGCATTGGGATGCTGGCTCTGCTCTTGAAGGTGGTTCGCACGGAGAGTATTCTGGGCCTTTGGAAAGGGATGTCCCCTGTAAGCTGCCTTTTGGGTCTTCTCTTGCACCCTCTGCTGTCATAGCTAGCCCTTTCTCACGCACCTCACATACCCCCTCTTGTAAGGAGAGGTGAGTGCCGGAAGCGGTGGGAGGACTTAATGGTCTTCTCCCTGTCTCATGCTACTGCTCACTCCTATTGGAGGGCTCGGGGAAATAGCTTTATGCCCTAGATGCAGCTTGTTGGAGCAGTAGCAAGTCAAGAGCAGATGCAGCTGGTGCCCTCGCTGCCGGCGTATCCTTGCACTTGCCCTCTGATGCAAGTAGGCCACACCTGCAGCTCTTCACCTGCAGGCTTTTTCTGGCCCTAGGAACTCAATTTGCTGGGAGTGCCAGGGCGTGCATGCTCACCCCAGCCGAGTGGAAGATGACAGTTGATGTTTCCAAACCTCACTCACCCTCCTCAGCTGGAGGGCGAACTCTGAGGTGTGCCCTACACCGATTCCCAGAGCTCCCCCCAAAGGCATTCCGTTGTCTGGGGCAGTAATGAGTTAGGTAGCCTGCCCTTCATGGGCTGCCTTCTCTCCTCACTTCCCCATTCTCTTATTGGCGTTCCCTCCACACCTTCAATCAGCTACTTGGATGCAAATCTCCATCTTTGGAAAACCCAGCTAAGACAGTATCTTAGTGTCGGTCTGTGATTTCTTTCCTCCCTCTGACTTGTTCTGCAGTCCATTGTGAGGTGTGTCCCTGGCATTGGCATCTACTTCGGCACTCTCTACTCCTTGAAGCAGTACTTCCTGCGAGGCCACCCCCCCACGGCCCTGGAGTCGGTCATCCTGGGAGTGGGCTCTCGCTCGGTTGCAGGGGTCTGCATGTCACCCATCACTGTGATCAAGACACGTTACGAGGTGAGTCCGACTGCTTTTGGCCTTCAGGGTGGCTAAACAGAGGCACTGGGCTTTTGTCAGGTGGCCACCGATGTCAACTGCGGATTTAGAATCCAAAATAGAGGCCGCTGTGGTCAGAGAATGCAAGCCACGTGGGAACCAGAGCCCGTGGTGCCTGGTAATGCCACGTACCCCAAAGTCAGGTGGGTTTGTTGCTCGAACCCAGGGCCGCCGCGCCAGCCACTGGTTCTGTGCTTCTTTGCAGAGTGGGAGGTACGGGTATGAGAGCATCTATGCAGCCCTGAGGAGCATCTATCGCAGCGAGGGGCGTCGGGGACTCTTCAGCGGCCTGACGGCAACACTCCTTCGTGATGCACCCTTTTCTGGAATCTACCTGATGTTCTACAACCAGACCAAAAACATCATGACCCATGGTATGGACGAAAGAAGGTGCGGTGGGGAAGAGCTATTTCCGAGATGTCATATCCTCACCACTTTCTCTGCGATCGGAGATTGTTTATTGATCTTAGCAGAGTTTTAGGAATGGAACCACGTCGGCCTCGTGTCAAGCATCGGGCCGGACGCTAGGACGCAGTGGTGGTCGTGACAGACTTGGCCCCTGCCTGTTGGAGTTTATAGTCTATTAATGGCATTGTACTGGTAGTACTGTAATTCTTGAGTGGGGTGGGGGAGGTATAAAGCATGTTTTGCAATAATACCTCGCAGATGTGCCTGATTCTTTAGGTTGCTGGGTCCCGCCCTAGGGCCTCCTAAATCAGAAACTTTGGGGGAAGACCTGGGAGTCTATTTCTCAAGAAGCACTTGATCTGATTCTTATCAGACAAGTTTGATGAGGTTAGGGAGGTTAGCACCTCCCCTTGGCGTGTTCCCAGTTAAAATGGTTTTGAGCCCTCTATCTGGGTGGAGAGCAAGGTGTCAGACCTCAGGCATTCTGGCAGACCCACACTGCCAGGAAGCTCAAGTTGGTCATGACAGGGGCACAATCAGTGGGCTGTGAACATCTACCCAAGCAGAGCCAGATTCCGATAGAGACACATCCTACGATGTGGAATGAACCTGCATTCAATAAGGTGTCTCTGGAGAATTTAAGCAAGGAAATGCAACCAAGGTCGTTTAAGTGGAAAATCGGCATGCCCCCATCATGACAATGGTAATCAAGGAGAGTTGGGGTGCTTTAGGAGTTTGCTGCTCCGTCACAGGCACCAGGAGGCGTGACACTGCAGGTCACACCCTTATTTTGCCACAGAAAGGGCAGTAAGGGAGCTTGGTGTACATTTTTGACCTCTCTTTATGTGTAATTGTTTATTGCAATCCATTTAAGAGTAAGTTGCAGGAGTGATGCCCCTTTATTTACCCTTAGATACCTCCGTGTGTGTTTCTTAAGAACAAAGATATTCTCATAGAACCATCTCCACAAAATTAGTAAATTTAACATAGATACTGTTCTTTAGTCTCCAGTGCCTATATCGGGAAGCTCGTGACATCGGTTTGACTATTGTGGGCAATGTTTAACTTTTTATCACTTGAACAAGATGGTGTCTCCAACGAAAACTCTTTTGTAATTGGGAGACATCTGGCGGGGGGGAATACTTTGAATCTGTATAAATCTATATAAAACATCCTGTTCCTTTCACCCCAGTGTTTGAGCCTCAGTCAGTGATTCTTTCCCGAATCAATTATGATGGTGATGGTTGTAAAAAAGGCAAATTTTAACTCCATGACTCCCATCCACATTTAGTTGTACCTTTAAATGTTTACTTCTTAACCCTGTTTGAATCTAGACCCTTCTGACTTTGCGGAAGAATTACTGGGCAACTTGGTATTGATATTTATGTGTTGAATGTGAGATTCATTTGTCACTGAATGTTGCCTTTGTCCTGTTTCAGACCAGTTGGATGCAGTCCTTATTCCTGCTGTAAATTTCAGCTGTGGGATCTTTGCTGGCATTCTGGCCTCCCTGGTGACTCAGCCTGCGGATGTCATCAAAACTCACATGCAGCTCTCCCCAATGAAGTTTCGGTGGATTGGCCAGGCAGTGACACTCATTTTCAAAGTAAGGCTATGGAGTAAATATTGCTTCTTATTGTGGTTAAGGCTCTCTCTCTCTCTTTCTCTAGAATGGTAGCTCATGTCCTTTACACATCAGAATCAGCTGGGGAGCTTTAAAAAGTTCCCACCCCCAGGTCACAACCTGGGCTGCTTCTACCTGAATCTCTGAAGGGGGGGTGAAGCCCGGATCAGTAGCTAAGTTCCCCGGCGATTCCAAAGTGTTGCCAAGGCTGAGGATCACTGTTGAAAACCTATGGTTGGCCGTGGGTTGTTTTTGTTTTTTTTTTTTGTTTTTTGGGGGGTTTTTTGGTGGTGGGTGGGGGGAACTGACTACACATTAGGACAACCTGTGATAACTAGTTAAACTTGGCAGATGGCTGGACTCCACCCCAGACCTATCAGGTCAGGCAATCTGGGAGGGCCTAGTCAGCTGATGATCAAGGACCTAGGAGGAACTCAAGTCAGAAAAAAATCACACACACATTATTTGTCTCTAGAAATTTGCTCTAATGCAAATGGACAAAAGGTATTATTAAAGATAAAAGGTACAGTAGGCATAAAGTACACTTTAGCATCATTTAAAAGCCACTGAGTTGGTCCTTTGGAAGCATGCACTGTTATCACATACCGGATATTCTTGTTCAAGCTAAGTTTGTCCCTACATTTTTATATTTTTCTGTACATCTCAGTTTTTCTACGTAGCAGAGGAAACAATGTGAGCATACGCATCATGTATCTGTCTCGCCCTAGATGTAAACAGATATTTGTGAATCTGATCATATTCCTCACCCTGCTTGGGTTGCCTGCTTTCTTATTCTCTATACCTAAAAGCGTAAACTTTGAAAATAATATTCTTCAGTATGTATGAAAATGGAAGGAATAACGATAGGAATGAATAAATCAGTCCAGATTATGAAGGAGTTGGAGGTGTTTTGTCTTTAATGCTTATGTAGGATGGACAAGAGCATACAGTGAGTTATGCAAATTAGGCAAAGATGCTTCCTCCAGGCAGACAAATCGCCAAAAAGACACCTTTTCCTCCAGCCTGGAGCCAGGGTCCAGGGCTTGGCATGCAGACTGTGGCCTGGATCTTGGCTGCCAGCTGGGGCTTGGTGCTTATGTGAGCTGCACAAGCTATCCAGCTGTATACGGCCACCCTGTAGAAAGATTTTCTGCTGAGAAATTCTCCTGGATAAAGCAAACCTAAAAAGATAAAGTTTAGCAAAAAATAATTTTTTTCTTTTCTTTTTTTAGTTCATCGTCACCTTGGATCCATTATTCATAGTTTTGGCATTATCTATAAAAATCCAAAACCTGAGGCTCACAAATGGGGTAACAGAGACCCTCAGTCTCGCACTAGGTGTGTTCATTGTCTTGCTACTCTGCTTCCAGACTGTTGACATTCGTTTTCCTCGTAGGATTATGGGCTGCGTGGCTTCTTCCAAGGCGGCATTCCCCGGGCCCTCCGCAGAGCTCTGATGGCAGCCATGGCGTGGACCGTGTATGAAGAAATGATGGCCCAGATGGGCCTGAAGTCCTGACTGAGAGGGACTGGGAAAAGACGGGCTCTGTTGCCCTGTTGACCTCCCTGGCTCTTGCCAAGGGCTGCTTTGTCTCACCGTCCTGGAGTTATGAAAGCCAGGCAGACGTGTCCCCTTTCGTTACCCAGTTGGAATAGAGAATAGATGGGCCTGACTCAAGCCTTCAGAATCTCCCCAAAGAGGAGTTACTGATGCCTACGGCACACGGGGAGTTAAAAGAAGGGCTTGCACATCCTGCCAGACTACTTGAAAAGGCATTTCTGGAAAGAGCTCTGTCAGGTGCTTCTGCCACCCACCGATGCTAGGCTGCCTGTTTGGATCTGTTCTTGGGCAAGGCATCGCACAGCCAGAGTTGCTGTGGCTGAAGAGCTCCAGCGGGGGAAGCCAGGTCCACGGAGAGAGGGGTTCTTGTCACCAGGCTGTAGTCTGTGTCTGGGATGCTGGTAGGATGAAGAAGAAAAGATGTCATTACTTAATTGGCTACTAATCCCCTTCTCAGAGGCCCTGAAGAAGTGGGGAGAGGGGCTTCTTAGCCTGTAAGTGTCCAAATAACGAATTTTGTTTTTGGCCTCTGCAGTGTTTCAATTCCAAATTGTTCTGGCATTTTCCTGCAGCTAAAGTTCGCATAAATAAAAGTGAAGCACTTTATCATTGAAAACTGGAAAACCTAAATAGTGTCCTTCCTGTGTTTTAAAATAACCCAATCGTCTAAGGTGGCTGGCTCTTGACCCATATAGGTCCTAAAATCTAAACGTTTTTTTAAACAGCTTTATTTCACACATTGTATAATTCACGTATTTCAAATAAGCCATTCAATGATTTTTAGTAACTTTACTGAGTGGTGCAACCAATCACTATGAATCTGTTTTAGAACACATTCATCCTGCAAGAAGATCTCGGATTTACAGTTAATCCTCATTCTGAGCCCCAGCCCTCGGCCACCATTGATCTGCTTTCTGTCTATAATTTGCCTTTACTGTACAGTTCATATAAATAAGTCATAGAGTTTGTAGCCTCTTGCATCTGGCTTCTTTCACTTCACATAATGTTTTTGAGGTTTCTCCACATGGCATGTTCAGCACTGTCCTTTTTTGTTTGTTTGTTTATGGTCAAATAATACTGTATGCCCCTATAAGATTTTATTTATCATTCATCAATTGGTGATTATATTATTTGAATGGTTTCCACTGGGGCTCTTATGAGTAATGCCACTATGGACATTCATGTACAGGTGTTTGTGTGGACCTATGTTTTCATTTCTCTTGCGTAAATAGATGCCCAGGAGTGGAACTGCCAGATCATGTGATAACTGTTGAACCACTTGAGAAACTACCAGACTGTGTACCATTGTACATTCCCACCCGCAGTGCAGAAAGGTTCGGGTTTCCCCACATCCTCCTCAACACTTGTTATTTTTTATTATAGCCACACTCGGGGGTTCCCAGGTGTTTCTATCAACTTTCAAACTTAGGAAAGAGCCATTATATTATCCAAACTGCAGGAAGGGGAATTTTGGTCTCCTGGTTAAGAATATGGGCTGTGATCTAGGTGGTTCTAGATGGAAAGCCTGGTTCTCTACTTTTTTTAGACACACTTGCAATTGTTCCTGGAAAGTGGGGATAGTAATGGTGAGGGTGAAAGGAGATGTTTCTGGCACCCTAGGTTAGTCTCCTAGTGCTGCCACAGCAAATTACCACAAATTGGGTAGCTTCTAGCAGAAATGTATTCTCAGTTCTGGAGCCTATGAGTCTGAAATCAAAGTGTCAGCAGGCATGTATGTTCTCTGAAGGCTCTAGGGGAGGATAGCTTTGGTCTCTCCAGGCTTCTGGTGGTTGCTGGCAATTCTTGGCATTCATCAGTCCAGTCTGCCTCAGTCTCCACAAAGCCTCCTGTGCATCTGTCTCTGTGTCCCAATTTCAAGGACACCGGTAGTTGGATTAGGGCCCACCCTCCTCTAGAATGACCTCAACCCGATTACATCTGCAGAGACCCTATTTCCAAATAAGGTTATGTTCTTAGGAACTAGGGTGGGGATTATTAGGAACTAGGATGGGGGTTAGGACTCCCAGCATATTCTTTCAAGGCCGGTCATCATGGATGTAGTGGCTGCCTCCCAAGAACTTAGGCTCTGACCCTCATCTTAGGCCAGGAGAGCCTAATGCCAGTGGGGGCCCTCCCAGGGGCCCTTGGCAGGGGAGGGGCAGAGATGAGGCCCAGAGGTCTAGGCTTCAATTTGCTCACCTTATACTTAGCTGGTGAATTTCAGTCACAAGAGTCACTTTCTAAGCTCATTACGATGTGGTTTTGGAATATAAGTGAGGTTCGGTGGGGTGGGTTCCAGAGCCGACAACCAAGAGAGACGTCTTTGGTGGTTTATTAAAGCACAGGGACAGGACCTGTGGGCAGAAAGAGCTACTGCAGCGGAATATGAGGGGTGGCTGATTATATACTTTGGGGTTGGGGGAGGTAAGGAAAAAGGTTTTCAAAAGGATTTTATATGTTAAAGTAGACTCGGAGTCCTTGCCATTGTCAAGTTAAGGTTGTTTTTCCTTCTAGCCTGGCATTAACATTAGGATAGTTGGGAACTCCTTGGAGGAAATTTATACTCTGCCCACTTCAAGTATTTGTCAATGGACTGCAGATTATAAGGACATTTAATTGTACCTACATTTCCTACTGGAAGATAGGTTATTGATAGAAATGCTTTGTTCTTATAAAACGCTAAGACATTTGTAAACTGAGGGACACTCTTGTCTTGCAGGATTGTGATCTCTGTAAGTTAACTGTTTTTCCTTTCCTTAGTTTTAGGGCAGCCAGGAGTGCCTGAGGAATGTCACGTAAATCCCATCTCGGGGGGAGGGGGGTTGTGGGGTGTCAGCTTCTGCTTTGTCCTCAGCTTGCCTTCTGTTCCATCAATTAGAACGTCCTTTAGGGGCAAAAAAAAAATCATTAAGATTTGGAGAAACAGTCTAATTTCCTCTATACATGGAGTAAAACTGGAATTTGCCCTTTTTAACCTTGATTCCAAAGGCAAGTGGCCCTGGGTATCTCCATATCCCAGGCCCCAAGAATTTTTTTTTCCTCTTTTGCAGTCTGTCACAACTACTAAAGTTTGTGAGTTTCAGCTGGCTGGAAACAGTGCCCAGTGCCTTTTTAAGTTTATTTGTTCTTGGCTGCCCTCAGACTTAAAGCAAATTATTTAGAGGCAGAGCTTTGTGGAAGGAAACACTCATCTGGCCACTACAGATAAGGCCTGGTGAGGCATTCGCTAAAAAAGGACAGAAGCAAAGCTTTCAAGCTGATGTTATATTCAGTTTCCAAAAACATACTACAAAATATTTCAGTCACAAAGAGTAGAGCAAATGGTACATTGGCCCTTCATTCCCATCACTGAGATGAAATGATTATCAGGATTTTGCTACCCTCATCTCTCTACTCTCCCCTTTATGAAGTCTTTAAAAAAGCAGATTCCAGACATCACACCATTTCACCCTTCCATAGTTCATCTCTAAAAATTTGCATCTCTAAAAATAACATTTCTCTTACATAACTACAATGTTATTATCCCACCTGGAAAACGTTAACAAATTTGTTGCCTATAATCCACTACCCAGCCCGTATTCACATTTCCAATGGTCTCAAAATGGATTTTTTAGGGGTGCCTGTCTGGTTCAGTCCGTGGAGCAAAGCCCCTAGATCTCAGGGTTGGAGCCCCACATTCAGTGGAGATGATGTGGGATACAAAGGCAGAAGGAACTGTAGATAAGATTAAGCGTCCTTATAACCTGCAGCCCATTGACAAATACTTGAGGCAGGCAGAGTAGAAAGTTCCTCCAGGAAGCTCCCACCTCTTAATGTTAATGCCTTGCTAGAGGGAAAAACAACCTTAGTTTGACAATAGCAACGCCTCAGGTTTCCAGCGATTCTTCTTTAGCATATGAAAATCCTTTTGGAACTTCCCTGATCTTTATTTCCCCCAACCACAAAGCACGTAATCTGTTGCTCCTCACAATTCTGGGGTAGCAGCGGCAGTAGTACTTTGTGCCCATGAGTCCATCCTCATGCTTTAATAAAATCACCTTTTTGCACCAAAGACATCTCAAGAATTCTTTCTTGGCCCTTGACTCCGGACCTCACCAACATTCCAAAACTACATTATAGAGATTACTTAAAAATAAAATCTTAGGGGTGGCTCAGTTGGTTAAGCCTCTGACTCTTGGTTTGGGGTCAGGTCCTGATCTTGAGGCTGTGGGATGAAGCCACCCTGGGCTCAGCTGGGAGTCTGCTTGAAGATTCTCTCCCTCTGCCCCAAACCTCACATGTGTGCGTGGGCTCTCTCTCAAATATTTTTTAAAAATGAAATCTTAGAAAGGAAAAGTGTTTTTTACAGTTGGCTTATTAGAATCAAGATGCAAACAAGGTCCTGAGTTTCCTTCACCAGATCTCCCACAGGGTAAGTAATTTTGAGGCGAACCACAATTAGAGTTCCTGAGGGCCTCATCAAATCAGATAACCTAACAGCAGTGACAGTAATGGGCAGTCGCCAAGCTGAGATCTGCTACCCCAAAGAAATGTCCCTTCCATGCCCCACAGGCTGAACAGTGGGCATTTCCAACTTCTTGCTGACTTCAAATTCTCAAATCTCAACTTTTTCACCACTCGGTCTCCAAAAAAAGCTGGCTGAATGCAGTAGTCTCTAGGTGTTATTTCAGCGTCCACGGTCTTCCCAGTGGTTCTTCCAAGTGGGATCCAGTGGGTTAGGTAGCTAATAAACACTCTGGATCTAAGATCAGTAGTTCTTAAAGCAGGCTGCACATTGGAATCACCTGAAGAGCTTTAAAAACAGCTGATGTGTGGGTCTGCCACCCAGAAATTCGATTGTAATCAAGCTAGGTTGTGGCCTGGGCACGAGGGGTTTTAAAAACGTTACCCAGGTGACCCTAACGCGCAGCCGTGGCAGAGAACCACCGAAGAGCCCGGCAGGGCAGGGTTCCCACTCGGCTCTCCGTAACCTGCTCCAAGGGTTAAGCCGGAGCTGGCGGGGCGGGGGCGGGGCTGCGGGGCGGGGGCGGGGCCGAAGAGGAAACAGGGCGGGAGAGTCCCGGTCACCGCGGCCAGCACGCCCGGCTGTTGCAGAAACGAGCGGAAACGCCTCCGTTTTACAAAACAAAGCGGAGAAGCGGGAGGCGTGCGCGGTCCGCGGGGCACGGACCTCGGCGGTGGGTCCCTCCAGTCCGGGCGCTTCGGCATCTTTGGGTGGCGATGGAGAGAGGCCTTGAGAGCTGCCGGCGCTCGGAGTCCAACGGCCTCTGGGCGCCTCGGATCACGGCGGTGGAGGAGCTGCAGAGCCGCGTGCAGGAGACCCTGGACCTGCTGTCCCCGCAGGAGCTGAGCAACTTCCGCATCTTCCTCAAGTCGGTGGACGAGGAGCCGCGCGTGACCCCCTGGCGACTGGAGCTGGAGGGCAAGAGCACGAAAGGGCTGGCCCGTCTCCTGGTCCAGCACTACTGCGAGCCCGCCGCTGCGTCGCGCGTCCTCATCAAGGTGCTGCAGCAGCTACGCCGCGCCGACCTGCTCCAGCGCTGGCAGGGCGCCGCCGCCGCCGAGGACCGGGGTGAGCTGGGTGGGGGCTGCCAGGTACCCGGGCTGGGGGCGGGGCCTGGCGAGCCGGGGTCCGCGGGGCCTGGGGCTGGGGGGGGCGGGCCCGTGTAAGCGCGGGGTTTGGCTGCGCCGCCCGAAGGTTCCGGGCTCGGCTTGGGGGCGGGGCACCCGGTTTGACTGGGGGTGCGGAGGCTTGCAGAGCGAGGAGCGGGCGGGCTTCCTGGGACCCAGTGACGCGCGGCGGAAAGTGGGAGCCTTGCGGGGGAGGTGGTCCCTAGAGTCGCAGTTCCCGAGCGCGGAATCCGAATGAGCCGTTGAAGAGCAGCCACCAGGATCTACCAGCACATTTTGGGATCAGATCGACTCAGCAGGCCTGAGATGCTTTGTTAACGTACCTTCAAGAGATGATGATGTGGGAGGTTTCTAAATGATGCAGTGCGGAGCATGGTATTGGAATTCCCGCTGTAGCATCACCAGGGAGTGTATTTACGGGGGCGGGGGGGAGGGGCCCTGTTCTTGCACACCATGAGACTGCCATTAATCTATGATCAAGAAATGCAGTATGTAACGGGTTAAGGGAGGTTGGGCCTCCCCCCTCCAGATTTAATAAACGTATGTACACGTAATATGTGTGTGAGAGAGACAGAGAAAGCAGCTCTTACATGAGAGCCATCGAAGTAGACACGAAAATATACCGTCCGTGACCTCTGCCATTAGTATGCTTACGACCTGATCTGATTGAGCTTTGAGGTGTGTTACGGTTGCTGATGTTTAGACTTGTAATGAACGGATCACAGCGGTAACGGCCCAACGAACACGGCGTGTAGGCAGAATACCCGCTCAGTGGAAACGACTCTCCCTGCTCTGAGTCGCCTGTACAGCATTTGTGTTGTCCCTCCCAGCTCAGCTGTTCAGGTATCACATGAACACCTCCTTAGGTGTTCTCACCTCTTTAGACTTTGAGTTCTCACCTCTTTAGACTTTGAGTCTCTTACTGTTGGCAAAGTGTTTTTTTTTTTTTCCAGAATCATCCAAACTACATAATATTATGGCTGTACCCTGTCGGCACCCAGTAAATATTTGAATTAAATGCTAAGAGGTTATGTTAAATTAAAAAAAAATACCTAATTCCTTTACTTTATCTGTCCCTTTATGGATATCTTGATCGCCTCTTCAGAAAGTACATGTAAAGTAATGTTAATCAATTACACCTTGTTCTTTTTATCCCCCGCCAGGCTCTTTCTGCCCTTGTGCCTAACTGGGGTCTAAGGGAGGTCTGTTATTAGTTTCTAGCCTTGTAGGAGTTTGAAAGAGGGTGTGTTCATAATCCAGGGAACCTGTTCTAAAATGAGGTTGAAGCCTACAGGACCTGAAAACGTAAGGCAACAGAATTCTCTGGGAGGAGCTTCCTGTTAACAGTAATGACAGTGGATTGATTGAAAAGAAAAAAAAAATGGGGAAAAAATAATGCAATAATGCTCTTTTTTTGTTTTATTCTCTTTTCATGAAAATTCATTCAGGGATTCCAAGAAAGATTCTAAAGAGAAGCTATGATTGTGTGGATGGCGAACTGGTAAATATTTTTGCTCTTACTCCAGCACTACACACTGGTGAGGAACAATGGTATTTAGCCACTTTAGCTGACATTGGAACATTTTTTGTGCTGCTGTCTTGTTAGTTAAAGGAAACTGTCTGGTTGTCTCAAGTGGTCAGATCTCACTGATTTCTGTTATGATTTTGAAAGATAAACATGAGCCATTTAAAACCGCTGTGCCTGCATTAACCAAATAGGTAGGCACTGCTGTTATTTCTATTTTATAAATCAAGAAAAATGAGGCACTTGGAGGTTCGAGGATGACAGGCTGTGTGGCCTTGGACGGCTATATAAGTTGCTGGTTGTAGGGTTTTTTTTTTTTTTAAGTTTTATAATGGAAATTTTCAATAAATACTAAAATAGAATAGAAAAATCTCTCAAACTCCAGCCCATTGTACTTATGAGCCTGCTTCAGCAAATTAGTAACATAGGGCCAATCTTGTTTTGTCTGCTTCGCGGCCCAATTATTTTAAAGCAAATCCAGATAACCTATCATGTTCATCTACAGATACGTTTGTATGACTCTCTAAATCTTTAGTACGAGAAAGAGGTTGTTCAAAACAACCACAGTGCCATTATTCTACCTAAAAACAACTTCCTTAGTGTGTGCAAAGATGTGGTTGGGATTCAGATTTCATTGACTGGGTCCTATGTCTTTTGCAGGTGGTTTGTTTGAATCAGGATGCTGACTCATACAATATGTCAACACAATTACAGTCGATTGCTTTGTGTCCTAAAGCTCTTAGGATACTTCTCCCTTTAACCTTTTTTCTTATTGTTTAATTATTGAAGAAACCAGGTTATCTGTAGCATGTCCCATATTCTGGATTTTGATGACTACAGCCCTGTGTGGTCATTTAACTCTGTTCCTCCATCTGCCATGCTTCCTTAAACTGATAGTGATAGCTATACATAGGAATTTAAAACTGAGATTGGCCTGTTAGTCCTGGTGTAAGGAAGATATTTGAAAGAAGTATAAATCCAGTCATGCCTCCCCCCACCCTCCTTCCATAACTAATAAGAGAGACAGTCACTGTTGCAGCCCTGATCCAAACTGGGAAACCTCACCATTGATCCCAGAAGAAATTCATTATTTCAGATCGATGACGTATTTGGATTTCTGAGTTTGGTTTGGTTTGCTTTAAATATTACTGGCTTTCCTGGAAAATAGGACTGTTATGACCTGAGGGGCAAGCGGAAGGCTTTTGTCATGTGCGTGGAGAAGAACAGACCAGGGGCTCAGCGGGACATCCATCTAATGGAGGAGTGGCTTGGCCAGTGCCAGTTTGAGCATACACAGTGCATCGATCCTAACAAAATGGTATAATTTTCCTTTTTTTTTTTTTTAAATTGGGTTTTGGAGGGGCACCTGGGTGGCTTAGTCGGTTAAGTGTCTGACTCTTGGTTTTGGCTCAGGGTCCTGGGATCCAGCCCTGCATCCGACTCCATGCTCAGTGGGGAGTCTGCTTTAGGATTTCTCTCCCTCTCTCTCTGCTCCTCCCCCTGCTTGTGCTCCCTCTCTCTCAAATAAATAAATCTTAAAAAAAAAAATAAATAAAAATTGGGTTTTAGTACCTGGCAAGAACCAGGACCTGCTAAACAATCCCACGCATGTCCTGATAAAATTCTTGATGCTTTTGTAATCTTAAGTGTGTGATACCCTACCTCCCCTTCCAGTCAAGCAGGGACCTCTTGGGCTCCAGTCTTGGCTAGGGCTATGCAGTTGAAGAGGGAAGGGGACCCAAGAAGGTGTTCTAAGCAAGATGGGCAAGGAGGCCCAAGGACAAGGCAAGAGTCTGGAGTAGGCAAGTTCCAGAGCCTTTGGGAGCAGGAAGGACCAAGGAAACCCCTATGAGAAGTCACCAGGAGGCAGGCCAGAGGCATTGCAGCACTGTGAGTCCTTGTGGGATTCATTTGGAACCTGGAAGAGGTGTAGAGAGGGAGCTGATAGCCCTGGGCAGAATTGCACTGTGACCTAACTAGTTGATACTGAAAAAATAAGGTGAAAGAGCAGTGGTGGGAACTCCATTTGACCTCTCTGACTCTACCTGAGTCATGACCTAGACCTACCTTTTTTTAGGGATAGTAATGTGGGAAAGCCCTTCCTAGATCCAGGAGTCCCTGCTAATGAATGTCCAGGAACAGCGCAGCATGGGGCTGTGGATGCCACATAGACTGCCTGGGCTGGAATCCTGTCTCTTCCTAGTTGTTACCTTAAATCTGGTTCTCACCCGAGGGTGATTTGTCCCCCTCATTTGGCCGTGGGTGGAGATGTTTCTGGTTGTCACACGTGGAGGTTACTGCTGGCCTCTGGTGGGTGCTACAATGCCCAGAAGAGCCCCCACAGCCAAGGGTTTTCTGGCCCCAAATGTCCATAGTGCCATAATTTCAGCAGCCCTGCCTGAAATTGACTACTTTCCTCTCCCAGAAACAGGGTTGATGAGAGTGGCTTATTTTGGAGGGCTGTGGTGATAAGGAGCTGCTGTGTCAAAATGCCCAGTAACAGGCTTATAGCAAGTGCCCAGTAAGCTTTGATTTTATTATTATTTCAAAGGTAAAAATAGACTTTCATTTTCCCCAAGGATTGTACGAGAATCTCTTACCTATTGCATGGTTTTGAATCAGATGGCAGATACTCTGCCGGTGTTCCTTTCGTTTATTCTCTTAGGGGTCTCCAGTGGTCGTTTTGCCTACATCCTGGCAACATTTAGTTTATTTGTAAATATTTAGCAGTATTACTGGCAAAACTATTTCATCGTTCTTAGTTTCATTTTCCAGATTATTAGTTTGGTTAAACATCTTTTGGCCATTATTTTCCTTCTGTAAATTGTCTGTTCTGTTTCCTTTGCCCTTTTTCCTACAGGGTAGTCTTTTTCCTGCTCTTATAGTTATTTTCCTGGATTTTATTCATTTACAAAACGTAGTGCAAATACTTCTCTCTTGTGTCTGTTACTTTTTTGATTTTTTGTTGTTGTTGTCTTAAGTTGTATAGAAGTCTTTTTTAAATTTTTTGTGAGTAAACCTGTCAATCTTTTTTGGTGGCTTCTTGATTTTTGTGTCTTGATTAAATCCCATGCCTTACCAACTTAAAAAATGTTTAAATTATTTTTCTGTACTATTTGTATAGTTTAAGGTTTCCTTTCTAACTCTCTGGAATTTTACTTTTGACGTGTGAGGTAAGAAGTCTTACCTTATGTCCAGATGTATATCAGTTGTCTCAACGTTTATTGAATGATGTGTCCTTCCCCCACATATTTGAAACTCCACCTTTATCATGAAATAAAGTCCTATAGATAATTCAATTGGTTTCTGGAATCTAAAATATCCCATTCATATGTTTGTTTATACTTCTGCCAGTATATCACTGTTTCATTCACCGTGATTTTTTTTAGGACATTTTGATGTCTGACAGGACCTATCCCTCCTTTTTTTTTTCCTTTTTGACTTCTGAATATTCTTGGCACTTCTTGAACATCATCTGTTCTCTGTGAGCTTGAGAATAATCTGGTTAAGTTCCACTGAAATCCTTTGGGAGTTTGATTGCCATGACACTGAACTGAGATTCATTTGGAGTGAATTGGCAGATTAATAGTGTTAACAGAGCATGGGCATGTCATGTGTATGTTTCCTCTTCTCTGAAGCTTTCTTTATCCTTTTCTTCATTTAGGTGATGTGTGTTTCTTAGGTTTATTCCTAGGTATTGTCCTTGTTTGGGTGTGACCATGAACAGGACCCCCTTTTCATTATGTGGTTTAAATGACTGTTGCCAGGGCACCTGGGTGGCTCAGCCAGTTAAGCGTCTGCCTTCGGCTCTGGTCATGATCTCAGGGTCCTGGGATTGAATTCTGCATCAGGCTCCCTGCTCAATGAGGAGCCTTCTTTTCCCTCTGCCCCTCCCCCTGCTCATGCTCTCTTTCTCTCTCTCAAATAAATAAATAAAATCTTTAAAAATTTAAAAAAAAATAAATGATTGTTGCCAGGTAACTGGGGCGGGTGGTGGGTGGTGGGCATTAGATCTTTGTGAGTTAATCTTGTGTCCGGTCAGCTTGCCGGTCGCTAGTTCCAATAGTTACTTGGTTGATTATTTTATATTTCTAGATAGTTATGGTATCTGTAAGTAATGAATTTTAGCTCTTTGTTTCTCGTATTTAGACTTCATTTAAAAAAATTTATTTAAATTCAACTTAATTAACATATAGTGTATTACTAGTTTCAGAGATAGAGTTCAGTGATTCATCGGTTGCATATAACACCCAGTGCTCACTACGTCAGATGCCCCCCTTAATGTCCATCACCCGGCTACCCCATCCTCCCACCAACCTCCTCTCCAGCAACCCTCAGTTTGTTTCCTAGAGTTAAGAGTCTCTTATGGTTTGCCTCCCTCTCTGCTTTCATTTTATTTTATTTTTCCTTCCCTTTCCCTATGTTCATCTGTTTTGTTTCTTAAATTCCACATATGAGTGAAACCATATGGTATTTGTCTTTCTCTGACTAATTTCGCTCAGCATAATACCCTCTAGTTCCATCCACGTCATTGCAAATGGCAAGATTTCATTCTTTTTGATGGCTGGGTAATATCCCATTGTATGTATATACCACCAGGGTAGCTCTATTTTCAACTTTTTGAGGAACCTCCAAACTGTTTTCCAGAGTGTCTGCACCAGCTTGCATTCCCACCAACAGTGTAGGAGGTTCCCCTTTCTCTGCATCCTCGCCAACATCTGTCGTTTCCTGAATGGTTAATTTTAGCCATTCTGACAGGTGTGAGGTGGACTTCATTTAACTTTTACTCACTTTACTGAAGTAAGGAGCTAGGATCTTGGCTACGAGGGCCATGGGAGCTGTGATAGTGGCCATTCCTGTCTTGCTTCCCTCTCTCTGGGGCTTGATTCTGATGACGTCTCCCCATAGGTCCTGGCAGACCTGTATTAGGTAGACACTTCCACTCCCTTCCATTTCTAGCTTTTTGAGGGCATTAGTTTTTGAGAATAACAATTTTTATATGTTAAAATAAGTTAACAATATAGAATTTACATACACTAGCCCCTTGGGGAGCTATCATTCTGTTGTATTTTGTGGTAGAGAATTGGAAATGCCCTAATTCTGTCCAAGAAGAACCAGTGGCACAAGAAGAAATCATGTGAATTCTGAAAGCAACCGAAAGGGAAGTGACCAGTTAAGGAACTGATATTTATCTCATACTGAGCCTGTTTGAGATGTGGTTATTTTTGTATTTGTCATGTCCTCTGATTGCCTAGGAAAGGGGCCATCTCTAGCATTTCTGGTTTTTCTTACCTCCAGTTCTTTTGAATATGTTATCCTATTTTACAGGTGTTAATTGAGAAAATAAGATCATTCCGTGATGGACTCAATGAAAGTAAAGATGATGTTGGCTGTTGTCTTGTTACCCTTATGTCCCACGGAGAGAAAGGGTTTATTAAAATGGAAGATGGTGAAAAAGTCAGCCTGGAGGACATTTTTGAAATGTTTAATAATAAAAATTGTCCAGCACTTCAGGAGAAACCAAAGATCTTTATCATCCAGGCCTGCAGAGGAGGTAAGTGAAGACTTCTTTGTAACAGTCATGTTTCTAGGAAACTCTACGGATGAGTGAGAAAAGAAAAAGAAGTTAAAAATATTTGTTTGTTTCTTTAAAATCAGAGGCCCCTCTGCTAATGTGACTTTAGTTGTGTAGTGTACTAGAGACTTTGGGCTGGGAGGAAGGGATAGAAGAAGAACTCAGGCTGAGGAAGGGTCCAAGTCCCTCACATCGTGAGGTGGGCCAGGGAGCCTCACGTCTGAGAGAGATGTGTGCAGTTTCCAAGGGCCGTCCCACTGTCCATGGGATGCCAGGCGGCCGGCCTACGGGGCCGACATCCAACTTCTGTAGCTTCTGCGGATATTTCTGTCTCTTGTGGAGATACAAGCTTGTTGGGACTTTGATTGAGGGCTCCTGGTGTCTGTGGTGTATTACTATAGTTTGTATTTTTGTTCTTCAACAAACAGAGAAAAGAGATACCGGTGTTGAGACAGACGATGAACCCATGGAGTCTGATGACGTATCCCAGAGGAGGAGGCTGCCCACCTTCAGTGATTATTTCATCATCTATCCCACCCAGGCAGGTGAGACCTGAGGGTAGATGACAATGACACACACTTTTTTCAGAAGGTTTGGGTCAGGGGCGCCTGGGTGGCTCAGTTGGTTAAGCAACTGCCTTCGGCTCAGGTCACGATCCTGGAGTCCCGGGATCGAGTCCCGCATCGGGCTCCCTGCTTGGCGGGGAGTCTGCTTCTCCCTCTGACCCTCCCCCCTCTCATTCTCTCTCTCAAATAAATAAAAAAAAAAAAATCTTTAAAAAAAAAAGAAGGTTTGGGTCATTCGTACCTTTTTTTTTTTTTTAATTTTTAGTTATCAGTGCTTTACAAATTGACACGTATAAGGAGATTTTTCATTAACCCATCCATCTCTCTTTACAAATGTTCCCACTTTTAGAGATGACAGGTTGGCATCTTACTGTTCATTTCTTCCGGGAAGGCACGAACCTCTGAGCAAAGTATCACATGGTAAATAAGATCATTGGCTCTCCTATGAAAAAGATCTTGGCCCAAAACCTAGTTCTGCCACTTGCTATATTGGAGAATTTCAATAGTTTTTGATCTCTAGATATATCAGTTTCTTCATGTAAAACGAGAATGATGGAATTTACTTATGTCATTGAGATGTTACATAAATTGAATAATATAACCACAGACGTGCTTATCATAATAACTGGCATAATCCAAAAAAAGAAATTAGCTACTATTATTACTAATACATTATGCTAATAATATGATCACCATTACTTCATTACTAATACTATTATTAATAATAAGGTAAGGTCCAAAAGAATCTTGTGTGTGAAGAGCCACCCCTTCACTTGATTCACTTGTAGGAGAGAGAGAATTAAGAGGTCAAGGACATTTCTTCAGCTGGGCTGTTTTTTTGTTTTTGTTTTTGTTTTTTTTTTAAAGTCATGTCTGCACCCAACATGGGACTTGAACTCACAACCCGGAGATCAGGTGTCACATGCTCCACCAACTAAGCCAGCCAGGTGCTCCCCTTTAAATGTTTTTATCTTAACAAAGATTAAGGCAGGTTACAAAAATGTATATGGAATTCAAGATAAATTTTATTTTTTTATTTTTTAAATTTTTTTTAGAGATTTTATTTATTGATTTGACAGAGAGAGAGAGAGAGATCAGACAGGCAGGCAGAGGGAGAGGGAGAAGCAAACCCCCCGCTGAGCAGGGAGCCCAATGTGGGGCTCGATCCCAGGATGCTGTGATCATGACCTGAGCCAAAGGCAGACGCTTAACAACTGAGCCACCCAGGTGCCCCCAAGATAAATTTTAATAAAGAAATGTAAGCAAAGGAACATAGGGCAACAACTTAAAATGAAACACACTTAGTGGTAACATGTGAAAAACACCTCCATTAAAGTGAGATGTCAGATTTCACTCCTTGGTTATTTACCCAAGAGAGATGAAAGCATGTGGCCTCCCAGAGTGGCACACAAATGTTCATAGCAGCTTTATTTGAAGTAGTCAAAGACTAGAAACAACCCAAATGACCATCAACAGGTGAATGAGTAAACAAATCGTGGTATGCCATATATGGAATACAGCTCAGCAATAAAAAGAAATGAGCTGCTGATATAAACTAACCACAGAATTATTATGGAGCAGTTAAGGAACTTCATGTTCCAGTTTTATTGAATGAATGAATTTTATGACTGTGTGCTGGGCTATACATATTTAAGGGCTAGAGATTCAGTATTGAACAGAACTAAAAATCTCTGCCTCCACAGAACTTATGTGCTAGTTGGAGACAGACAATAAACACATGGAGAAACTATATATTGTGCTATTTTATGATCCCATTTGTATAAAGTTCAAAAACAGGCAAAACTGATCTGTGATGTTAGAAGTCAGGATAGTGCTCGCCCTCTGGTATGCAGTGTTTGGGGTGGTAAGGACCAGAGCGGGCAAGAAGGGGACTTCTCGAGTGCTGGCACTATCTTGTTTCTTGATGAGGGCACTAGTTACAGGGTGTGTTCGTTCTATGAAAATGTATTGAGCTGTTTTATACCCCTAAGCTTTGCACTCTTTTATACCCCTAAGCTTTGCACTCTGTGCGATGGTTACCTTTCAGTGAAATGTTTACCAAAAATAAAGTATGTTACATGGTGACCATTGCTATGGAGAAAAATAATGTAGGGACAAGGGATATAGGGAGTGTCCAGGGGCAGGAGTGGAGATTGCAATTTTAAAAAAGAGACGTATAGAGATGTCCCCACTGAGAAGCTGATTGTTGTGTAGACACTTGGGGGACATGAGAGAGGGTGAGCTATGCAGATATTTGAGAGAATTTGTTTTGTAAGATAAAAATACTTCATATAGGGTGCCTGGGTGGCTCAGTTGGTTAAGCGACTGCCTTCGGCTCAGATCATGATCCTGGAGTCCTGGGATCGAGTCCCGCATTGCGCTTCCTGCTCAGCAGGGAGTCTGCTTCTCCCTCTGACCCTCCCCACTCTCATGCTCTCTCTCTCTTTTTCTCTCTCAAATAAATAAAATCTTTAAAAAAAAAGAATACTTCATATAGAGCAGTATCAAAAACTCTATGTATAGCGTGTCCCCACTGAGATAGAAGAGAGAACCTAGAGGCAGAACCAACTATGCAGGGAAATGAGACATGTGACAAGTGTGGAATGAATGGGCTGTTCAGTATAGTGCTGGGAAAACCGGCTTCCCCGTGGGAGAAAAGTAAAAATTTATTTTCAGATTTCTTGGCCCAGGGTTCAGGGCCTCTTTAATCATGTGAAATGTCCAATCTATAGTAATGCTCTTTTATCTCTGATATTTGTGGCTTTCTTCTTTTACTCTTTATCAGTCTTACCAGTAGTGTATTTAGTTAAGAACCTATTTTTAGTTTTGTTAATCCCCTCTAGTATCTGTTTTTGATTTCATTAGTTTCCATTTTTCTTCATTTGGGGGGTGTTTATGCTACTCGTCTTTACCCGGCTATTTTAGTTAGGTACTTGGCTCATTATTTTCTATCTTTTTAAGCATATGAGCATTTTTAAAGCTTTAATTCCCTCTGAGGACTGCTTTCACTCTGTCCTTCACATTTTAACATGGACCAGTTTTATCCTTCAGTTCTAAGAGTTCTTAAATTTCCATTGTTCTTTTACATGTTAGAACTATCTCTAAATTTCTGTGTTGGGATTTTAAAATTTGTCCTTTTGTTACTGATGTCTGGTTTATTTGTGTGAGGAACTGAGAAAGAATACGGATGACAGTACTGATCTGAAATATGTTGAGACATGGGTTATGCTTTGGTCTTTAGTAAACTTATTTTAAAGATTTATTTATTTTTTAGAGAGAGTGAGAGCATGTGAGCCCCGGATGGGGGTGGCGGGGTGGAGGAGGAGCAGAGGGAGAGAATCTTCACATAGACACCGTGCTGAGTGGGGAGCCCAACCCAGGATTCAATCTCAAGACCCTGAAATCATGACCTGAGCCGTTTGAAACCGAGAGTCGGACCCTTAACCGACTGAGCCACCCAGGTGCCCCTCTAGTAAACTTTTTAATGGCAGTTGGACTCTCCTAGATATTCTGTGTGTGCTTAAGAATATGTGTCCTGCACTTGTTGAATGCAGGGTTCTAAATATTTCTATCAATTAAGCATAATTGTGTTCCATTGTTTTATGTCTCCACTAAATTTGCTTGACCTGCCAATATCTGAGATAAGTGTGTCCATATGTCATGTTATTGTGGTAGGCGTGTCTGTTTCTTCTGTAGTCCCAGTGTTTTTGTTTTCTTTATTTTGACACAACCTGAGTAGAGGCATACAATTTTAGAATTGTGAAATATATAGAAGAAATAAGATAAAATGTTCTAAGCACTCTTTAGTGAACCTACTGTCCCAAGTAGTGCTTTTTTTGTGTTAGTTCCTTTTGTCTGGAATTTATATAGATACTTGAGTATTCTTTTGCTCCATATTGGCCTGGTATACCTCCTTCAGACTGTTTTCTATGAACCTTTTTGGACCGTTATGTTTTAAGTGGGTCTCTTTTAGATAGGATATAGCTGGGTTTTGGTTTTGTTGTTTTTTTTTTTTTAATTCAGTGTGACATTATCAATCTTTTTATTGGTAAATTAGGGCAATTTGTCTTTATTGTGACTATTGATATATTTGCCCTTTTGCCATTTTATTTTGTGCTATTTATTTTTCTTTGCTTTATTTCCTTCCTTTATGGCTCTTGTGTTTGCTTGATTAATAGTTTAGTATGATATTCTAACATTTTTTGACCCCCTGCTGACCTAGAAGGTAGGCATCCCATAATTCTTTTTCTCATGGTTACCCGTGAAATTTTATACATGCGCAGTTAGCCTAAAGTTAATTTTAAAAAAGCTTATTTTTACTCCCTGATGATTCAAGGAACCTTAGAACACTAATTCCCATTACCTTCTCCCACACCTATGTGCTACTTTTAAGATTTATTTCTTTTCTTTTTGTATCTTGCTTAACATTGTTTATATAAAAATATTTGTGTGTTCTTAAATTGCCTTAAATTATCCTTCCACTGCCCCCTGGTTTTCTTCTGAATTAAGACATCAATTTAACACACTTTCATCAAATGTGTTGGCACACACTAGGGTGGCAAGCACTGTTCTAGGTAATACCTAGTCCTTTTTTTAAAACCCTACAAATTAGAACATTATTTTTTTTTTTTTAGGATTTTTTTTTTTTTTTTTTTTTCCGAGAGACAGCGAGAGAGGGAACACAAGCAGGGGGAGTGGGAGAGGGAGAAGCAGGGAGCTGAGCAGGGAGCCCGATGTGGGGCTCCATCCCAGGACTCTAGGATCATGACCTGAGCCGAAGGCAGACGCCCAACCGACTGAGCCATCCAGGCGCCCTCAAGTTAGAACATTATTATTATAAGTTTACAATCCATGTTTGTTTCTGTTTATTCATGTGATTACCATTTTCTTCTCTATTCCTTCTTGAATCTCAGATCATTTTTCTGGATTCATTTTTTTTCTTCCTGAAGTATATCCTTTAGAAATTCATTTAAGGAAGA